CATAATTAAAACAATAAAAAAGACACTATTGATCCAATATTTACGCTCGCCAATCTAAACCTGCAAATTCTTGTAAAACATAAGAGAAAAAATGATGTCTGAACTCCGACCAATAGTGATGTTCACTACTGTTTGAGGCACTAATGTCCAGAATAGGTTTAAGGAATGACTCGATTCTGCAAGACGAAAAAAAAATAATCATAACAATGAATTAATGAATGATAATAAAACCTTAACCAATACTTACAAAGGTAGCATTACTCTATATAAATATTTTTTGAGTCTTGTTACTTCCTCGGTGTCTTCATCATTAACTACTATCAGTGTATTTGTGATGCAAACCCAGTCAGAAATTGTTTTCTTTGGTTCGTCTTCAGTTAAAGACTCCTACAAAGCAACATGACATATCTATTAATAATTGTTTTAAATAACAACACAAATCACATAATTACCTTATATAATACTCCTTTATGACTTCATGCCAACAATTTGGTAACACTGCACTCCTTTTTTGGTCGTAAGAAAAGTAGTTTTGTGTAACCTTCAATTGTTAAAAATTTCGCAAAACTGCCATCACCTCTGATGTCCATGACATCATCATTAGTGCAACTATACATTGAGAAGATATTAGCAAAACTTCACATAGTATGGTACACCCCCTTTAAAATAATACTGTACTTACGAGTACACATTATTTTTTTTACAATCTTTGTATTATTCGAAGAGTGGAATGACTTCTTTGAAATACTATTTAATGAAAACTATTGAGTATTTGTCACATGCACCAATAAAGCAATGTCATACCTTGATATCATTTAGACATGTTAAATTCTCGGAAGCTCCTCTAAAGATGTTTTCATTGGTTTCATTGGCTGAGGATTGAGAGACAACCGAGTTATAAGTGTTTCCAATGATTTGGTGAGGAGGTGTTCGAGTTCCTTTTGCACAATAAACAAAAACAGCTGAAAGTTATTGATTAAATATCTGAACAAGCACCAAAAAATCCTCCTTACCATCTTTCGTATCATTTCTACCTAATAGGCTAGAATTGGGAAATACTTCTCCATCATCCTCAGATTTATTGTTATCAACATCTACCTCCTGGTCCTCTTTGTCATTAGTTTGAGCGCTACTTGACGCTTGTACAATTTCAGAAACCTTGAGAAGAGAAGAGAAGAGATATAAATATACAAATAAAGCAAAATATGATTTAACATAATGAAAACAACAAACCTTAGCAGTTTCATCAATATTGACGCCATTTAATGTCATGGACTGACTGCTTACAGGAGATTGAAAAGAATTCAACTTCATGTCAATCATTCATACCGCAACCTCTGATCTATATAGATCAGTTTTCGTTTCAAATAAATTTTCATTTGCCTGTAAACTGGTTAGTTTTTTTTTATATATAAACAAAATAATACATACTAACAAGCATTGTTTACCTTTTTGTCTATTAGACCAAAAAACGCTATGACTTCTTTGAATTGAAAATATCTTTCTGCACCATTAAAAAGCTTTGTAGCTTTCCCTCAAGCTTTTTTGTTCATTGAGTTATGAGTACTTATTAAATGGAGTTGATGTTTTAATTCAGCTATAATTTCTTCACAATGTTTAGACGTCACCCCTGCACAATTTTCTGCTAAAAATTCAAGACAATCATGGACAGTCCATTTTGTAAAGGTTACATCCCTTAAGTATTGGGTGATACCACTTGAAATATGCATGCTAAGGAATCATAATCAATATTATTAGCATTATTTCAATTGTAAACATATGGTTGAGGTTGGCATTGACCAATGGATTTCTGGAAAGAGGTTGCCAGACTTAGATGTTAAGCCAACCCTAACACAGGCCTAGCACTTACTTTTCAAACATCGACCGAAGGAGGTCCACATAAGCGGGACAAGTCCAACGCGTCGTAGAATACCCATTAAGTCTAATATACTGGAAAAGGGCTATCAAGCTTAGCTATTAAGCCTATCTTAACAGGGGCCTAGTAATCCCTTTTCAAGCATCGATCAAAGGAGGTCCACAATAAGTGGAACAGTTCCAATGCATCGTAGGATATTGTGGGATGTCATAGATAATGAAATCAAAAGTACTGCACATACTTTCCTGATATAGTATACTTAGATAAGAAAATTTTTTTGCAAGGTCAAAGAAATATAACGAGACTTTTATACAGACCTGTGCTATGATCAACACATGTTATAAGATAATTCAATAATTTCAACGTTACATAAAAAAAACCATTGAGAAATATGATGCTATCAAAAGTACATGGATCCTAGGCTAATGCGAGTCCCAGCATCAAGTTATTTCTTTGCTCTCAAGTTTTCGAAAAATATTATAACTAATTTGTTTATACTTCTATTGCTAATTACATGATTCTTACCCCCACAACCTTTTACTATACTAGATTTCTGAAATAAATTATCACACCTATATTTACAAAATTTTTGTCTATCTATATCTTTCCTAAACACACAGATATTATTTCTCAAAGAGAACTTCTTTGAGATTAAGAAATTTCGAACCTATAGTATAGTTACAGAAATATTAGCAATTGAGGTAAAAAAAATAATACAATAATAATTTACACTTACCATCACGATTCATTTTTACATAATTCCATTCCACCTCATACACAAGAAATTTATTGCTTAATTTTTTCTGCGGTATGATACTGCGCAAAGTTTTAATGTACTGCACCAGACTTTTGCTATGCTGTTGCATGTGATGAGATTCATGTGAGTAATTTCACTGCATCTATTATACGCGTGATGATGGTTAGTGATTTTTTCAGCGAAGATCAAAATGCCGATATATAATAAGAAGAGCAATATGTCCATTTTATTATAGAACATCTATAGCGGAAAATCAATTAAGATTGTGATGACATGTTTCAAGAAGCTAGCTGATCAATAAACTAACTTACTTTATTATTTACTTTGCAGAATATATGGGTTTGTATATTGATGATGCAGTTTTAATTTTATTAATTTTATTAGAATTTTCGTTTGATTTTTTCTTGATTTTTCTTATATTCGCACAAGGCAGATAAAAAGATTTACTAACTAGAATAACACCTTTTTATACAATTTGTAGGATTGATCTTGAAGGAAAAATTATGTATTGCGGAAATCTGATCAATAGCATCCCCTTAATTTAATAATAAAGAATTTAACACTATCAATATATAAAAATCATCAAGGGGCTATACATAATTTTGAGAATATGCAAGAAAGTTTGTTCCTATGATATATGTATAACATTACTGCGTGTTTATTTATCAAGTCACAATAAAACTTGATCGAAAAAATAATAGCACACACATGATATATTAATAAAGTCAAATTCTGACTAAGAAAAAAAAAAGTCCCCCTGTGTCATATGATAATCATAAAGATTCTTCACACTTCTAACCAATAGAAACATGATCTACAAGAAATACTAATGGATATTATGTCTGGGCTTGTACTTCCCTCCTTTGTACCTTCGGTATCACAGGAGATATTAAGAAGGAAAAAATTTTTTTCCAATACATACTGCATCAGGTGAATAGTATTGAACAATGCTATGGTCACGAATTTGAGTTTATTACTTGAAGTGTTGCAGGCAAGACAATATTCTGTTTCATTTTTATATTATTCATCATGTAATTCATAATTCCTATGTTTTCCATCACAAATAGGACATGGTGAGCTCCATGGCTGAGGTGATGCAAAATTATAATTATCAATTCCCTTAAAATTATTTCAGAATTTCAAGTATGTGAAATGCTGTAACATGGATTTGATAATTAATTCTGTATCAGATTAGCTTCGAAAGTGATAGGCTTAAAATCAGAAACTTGAAGTTTTTTTGATATATTTATCACAGCTTCTGATTTAAACATTATCTATCTGTTTCGAATAAATTTATAATTGCCATAGCTTATTTCCAGTTTCTTTTTATATCTTTTGTATAAATTGAAACAAATCTTATTTGTCAAAATGCTAGGTAATCCACTTAATTTAGCATACCAATTCAGATACCCAGGTGTTAATACTTTATCAGACTTGGTCATCTTGCTGTTTTATATGATTGCAAATCAATTTAAATTACAGTAGGTAATAGTCAATATAAATTAGTCCTGTAAAAAATAGGTTCTTAAAAGAAATGCAAATAGTATTATAAAATAATAAGATTATATCACGCACATACATTTAAAAAATCTGAAATAAATATTTATTATATTTTTTAATAAAGTAATACATAAAAAAGGGTCAGCCAGCTAAGTAAAAATGAATGTAAAAAATGATAAAATAGCAGATTGTTTCAAGGGAGAAAAGGCATAAAAGAACATGCCTACTTATTAAATCTGACAAGTCTAACTCATATATTGGCATTTCCTTTTCCACTATTCTACATTATTATCTAAAATGCTAGTATTTTCTTTACTATCTAACCATTTACTAATTAACTTTATTGTACTATATTTTGAATCATTACCCACAATAAAAACTTTTTATAGTAATCTCTCCAATCTTTTTTCCTATAAGTTGACAAATTGCATAAGCTATAGTTTCATACATATAGTCAACAGAATTATTTCTCTTAATCAAATTAAAAATTTGCTTAAACAGGTCTTAATATTAAGAGCTTACATAATTGGCTTGAAGCTTCAGGAATTGTTGGTCATGCTGTGTTAATTAAAATCATCAGATTCGTCAGAGATTGACTGAGATCTTTAAGCAAGAATGCCATCTATATTATATCAAACCATATTGCTTATAAGAACTTGGATAGTAGCATTAATTGTGGTTAAAGATGGTACTATAATTAAAAAGTTGTAACTTGAAATTATAATTATTAATTGCAACATTTTAAAAAATTTAACTAAAGTTGCAACTATTATGGTAGTTGCAACTATTATAATAATTGCAACTGTTATAATAGATGCAACTATTATAATAGTTGCAACTTTAATATAATTAAAATTGTAAAGATAGATACCGTAATTGTAAGAATTGCAACATTATATTGATAATTAAAGATTTGCAACTTTTATTATAATTAAACCTTTTATTATAAATGTATATTTATTTTTTTTTATGACAATAAACTAATTAATGTTAAAGTAATACAGATCTACCTATAAAATTAAATAAAATACCAGTTCAAAATATTATTCATATAACAATTATATATATATAACTATATCTGATTGGAGTAAAAAATTTAATATCAGGAAGGAAAGGAAAGGAAAGGAAAGGAAATGGAGGGTATGGAAAAGATAAGTTAAAAAAAGAAAATTTTGTAATTAAAAAAAAAACTTACCATTAGTATATGGAAATTAGCAATTTCAAGAATCGAAGGCGAGTTTCTAAAAGGGAATCTATGAAAATATTAAATAAAGAAAACTAGTTAGGAAAACCACGTTGAGTTTAAAATGATCGTTGTGATATCTTAAAACATGTAACATGTGCATAAAAAAGAAAAAAAAATACTTACAACTAAATAAGGTTCCTTC